GCCGAGAACGACGTGCACTCTGCGGCGCAGGCGATGAAGCTGTGGATAAGGACCAACCCGACAGGGAACAAGCGGCATAGGGTGACGCGGTTCAGTGGCAGCTGGCGTTGCTGGAGAAGGACCGAGGTCGATTGAAGATGCTTCTGTGCGAAGCGCAAGAGCTCGACCGCGGACACGATAGAGCCGCAAGAATTGAAGTGGCAGGGATAGTGAAGCAGCAGCAAAAGATGGTAGTACCGTGCACTCAACCAAGTGACTGAATTATGAATCGGCACATTGTCCGGTTCCAATGGCGACACAAGGCAGCCATTGCTGTACCAATTCTCAATCTCTGATCTGATATCCTGGACAATGGCACGGCGGTCGGCCTGGGAGAGCGCAGCGACGTCTGACTGCTTTCGCGTGTGAATCTGGCGGAGGATTCGATCTTCTAGTTGCCTCAGCTGGATGACGTGACGATTTGTCTGTAGGATAGAGGCAAAATGTTGCCGATCTGGAGAGGCGAATTCTTCAATCGTTAGTCCGGGCAACGGAACATCCATGTTCTCGTCAATGAGCGCTACTGGCAAGCCCAACGAAATAGCCATCATCCGATCAAGGACGTAGATGCTCCAGAAGAGACGATGCCGGAGCTCGATGTCCATCGCGGAGAGCGTCTTGTCCTCGGAAGATCTGCGGCTCAGGCCTAGCAGCATCGCCTGCCGAGAGACTATGCCAGCTATTGACCATGTCGAGATGCCCTTCGGATCAAAGAGCGAGTATAATGCCACCAAGACCAGAATCTGGATTGACTCGAGGTCTTCACGAGCTAAACATTCTTGGATAATGTCGGCATAAGCCACGTCGAACTTGGACGTCGTGTCATTCGGTATCTGGCCTGCTCTCTGCAAGGTAGTGCAACCGATGGCCATGATGAGGTACAGCAAGGTCGTATCTGAGTCTCGCCGCCGTTTCGAAGACTCGCCCAAGTTCTCCAAGTCCCTGAGAACTTTAGACCTGTTCACGAACGGATATGCTCGGTTCACATTCCGGAAATATGCGTCCACAAACCGACGAGCAATGGCATCCCGCGGCAAACTCGATGACGAGAAGCCTCCATCCCGGATAGACTCGATGCCAAGTATCCTCCCTGGCTCTGGTGCCGGCTGAAGAAGAGCACGCATATGGTCGTTCCCTCTTGATGAAGGCGATTCCGAGTCCACGTTCACGGCCAAACTTCGCTGATCAAAGACAACTGACCCGGTGTTGCCGTGTATCGTGAAACCATCCCCTCGATTGCTCCCCACACTCGCGGATCCAGGCGTGGCTCCATTCGCCGGCGTTGACGGGTTGATATCCAATTGCTGGCTCTGGTGCTGTGAAAGGGCACCCGGTGAAGACCCAAGGAGTGACACAAGGTCCGTTCCGGTATCAAGATGCTCAACGCCGCCTCCAGGCACGGGATGGCTTTCGTTGATGTACCGCGTTAACCATTCAATTCTGGCCCTCAGATGATGCGTCTGGGCAGCCGTCGACGCAGCTGGTGTGGAGAAAGAACACTTGTGTCCAGCATTGGCACACAACGTGCAGATAGGAAATGTGCGTGAACATTTCTTCTTGAAAGCACGGCACCGGTCGCAAGCGGGAATATCGCGGGGCGCCTTAGGCGAGGACGCCGCCACTCCCGTGTTCGCGGAGGCGGTGGCGTTGGCGACATTGGGAACAGGGCCGCCCGAAGGAAGTCCAGGGGCAGCAGCAATAGGACTTGGCAGTATCGACGGCGTAGGAGGCGGCAGAGACGTTGTCCCTACGGCTGCCGAGACGACTTCTGAAGATGAGACATCGGGAGTGATATCCGGGGCCCCTCCAGCTGGCGCTGGTGATGCCTGCGGTGGCGGCAGAGATGCGCGAGGCAGCACGGGCGGAGAAGCCGAGCGGCGGAGAGTGGATGGAGACGATGGGGATGTTCGTCGGACGCGGAAGCGGTGGATGTTGGATTTGATCTGTTCGGGAGACATTGCGACGGGTTTGCCAGTGAAGACGGCGAGACGCCGACGCAACGCCCGTCTCGAGTCGGAAGGGGGACGATCGGTCGGTCGGTCACTGTGCGCGGGCGCGTCGCAGGCGCATAGATGATAGGGGGGATCGAATGGCTTGGAATCCAGGAGTCGTGGGGGCGATCTGAGTCGGAGTCGGGGCTCTCTCCGCTGTTATGCTGAGCTGCTCTTCAGGCCATGGATGGATGCCAGGCCCTTCCGACGTGGTGGTAATGCTGCAACAATCTGACTCTATCTCTATCATGTATGTCGACGTAGAGAACGCAGCATCTTTGCAGAGTGCGAATATTTTCTCTCCCCCCTTTCAGCGTTGCACTCCAGCCAGCCTGTCCAGTCCGCGCAGATCCGATAACATGTTTTTTTTTCAAGCCTTGCGCCGGCAGCTAGCACGATCCAGGCATTTCGGCAGTCAGTTTGATAGCAATCAACAGAAGCACGACTCGAACGGGCGCAGAGCACGCAATCTCTATCGGCTGAGGGGGTGGACGAATGAGAATTCTTTCTTCAGGGACAATTGTCCAGTAGATGGCCCATGTTTTGCCCCGCTGTCGGGGATCTGTCGTTCGGACTTAGTACTGCTGAAGAATTTTCTTTTCTGGTTAGGTGGCCGGATTGCGACTTTATGGGAGACAAGTGCGTGCTACAATCACTGGCGAACATGGGAGAGCAGAAGCTTCTTGTCTCTGTGAATGATAGAGTCTCTGCCAAGAGAATTGTAAGACGGGGAAGTATATGACTTGCATGAGACTGCTGTTCGTCCCAAGACTGCTTGTCTCCGGCAGCCGGAGTCCGGCTGAAGGATGCGTGTGTGTAATAGTCCCACCACACAGTTCAGTGTTCGCGCGACTCAGACAATAGCGCCAGTCGGGCCAAGGCCGATTAGTGTCGGCCGTCACTCTCGCCTCGCCATCCCAGCGGGTCTTTCGTCCGATTGCAAAGCATGATTGCACCAGCTGAATGAGTGGTTTGTGCCTATTGCCGAGATCTAAAGATATGGGAATGCAATCGCCTGATGTTCTTTCACCAGCGTAGACAACTCTTCACGGGTGTTTACTCATTTAAGTCCGTCATCTCCTCTCTTCACAGGCTTCCTCCGAGCTGTTCATCGGCGCTACGATACCCCTCATCATCATTCCAACTCTACTCTTCCACAATCCGTCCCACACCGATCCGGTTAAACCCCGCAACCATGTCGCCCATGTACACGGAGGATAAGCTCAATGTCGACCGGGTCGCCGTGATCGGCGCCGGACCGTGCGGTCTCGCCGCCGCGAAGTAAGCTGTCGTCCGACCGAGCCAGCCCCGGAGTACCTCGATGCTAATCACCGGCTTGTAGATACTTTTTGGCCGAAAAGAAGTTTTCCAAAGTCCAAATTTTCGAGCAAAGAGATACCGTCGGCGGAGTTTGGACCTACAGCTCTCTCAGCGTCATTGATAATGACTTCAGCATCCCGAGAACGCAGCCCACAAGAAACCCGGACACGGCTATTGCCGTTGAAGGTCATGAGGCCAAGCAGTTCGTGTCGCCAGTCTATGACTTTCTTGAGACCAACATCCCGCACACGCTCATGAACTACTCCGACAAGAAGTTCCCCTCCACTGCCTCGCTGTTCCCTCCTCACCAGACCGTGAAGAAGTATCTTGAAGACTACGCCGAGGAACTGAAGCCCATCATTTCACTATCGACGCAGGTTTTGAGCTTGAAGAAGGTACAGAGTGGTAGCCAAGTATGCTGGGAGATTGAGATGCAAGACCTCAAGACCAATGAGACAACGAAATCGCAGTTTGATGCCGTAATGGTCGCCAGCGGTCACTACAACGACCCTTTCATTCCCGATATCCCAGGTCTTGCCAACTTTGACAAAGCGCACCCTGGCACTATCTTCCACTCCAAGTTCTACAGGAACCCTTCTCAATACGAGGGCAAGGTGAGCAACACTCAACCTGCAGTTGTGTAAACTCTGAGCTAATGCAGCATTCCAGAAGATCATCGTTGTGGGCAACTCAGCTTCCGGTATCGACTTGAGCGCCCAGATCTCCACGGTCTGCAAATTGCCCATCATTGTGTCTGAAAAGACCACTCTGAATACTCCAGCGGAAGACCGGTCATCATGGGCCAAGATGGTGCCAGAGATTCTCGAGTTTATCCCTGAAGGCCGCAAGGTGCGCCTTGCCAACGGCGAGGTTGAGTCCGACGTTGACGGTGTGGTCTTCTGCACGGGATACTTCTACAGCTTCCCATTCCTTCGCGACCTCTCGCCGCCAGTCGTCACAGATGGCGCCTACGCTCGCAACTTGTATGAGCACCTTCTCTACATAGACGACCCGACATTGGCATTCGCAGGTATTCCGCAGCGCATCGTCCCATTTCCTGTTGCCGAAGGCCAGGCTGCATTCGTTGCGCGGGCATGGGCAGACAGATTGGCTCTGCCAAGCACCGCTGAGATGAGGGAATGGGAAGCGAAGATGCTGAAAGATAAGGGAGAAAGCAAAATGCTGCACAACCTCGCTTTCCCGAAAGACCTGGACTACATCAACATGCTCCACGCTCGAGGTCTTGAGGCTGCCAAGCGAGAGGGCCTCGAGAACGATGGCATCGGCAAGATTCCGCCATTTTGGGATGATGAGAAGAGGTGGACGAGAGAACGTTTCCCGCTCATTAAGATCGCATCGAGAAAGCTTGGTGAGAAGAGACACGAGGTCACGACTTTAGAACAACTGGGTTTCGATTACAAAGCATGGAAGGCTGGCTTGAGCGAGGAGCAGAAACTCTTGTAAAGGTAGCGTCAAATCAGGAAGCGCGTGTCACGTCCAGATATCATAGATATATCTCTATAGATGACAGTTTTTAGAAAGCCTATTTGCCTTCCCAAAGCCTTGTTCTCTAAGTTCACCGCAAAGTGTCGCCATTGCGGAAACGACAAAGGAGGTGCTGCTACCCGCACTGAATCAAACGGATCCAACTTAGCTATCAACAGTCGCCTTTCGAACTTGTCTCCCGAAGTGGCCCAATAGCAGTATACCTACAGCCTGCGCAACCGCACAAACAGATGAGGTGATCCATCCTACCCGAAAGTAAGGCGTCTGCGTCCCCGTATTGAAGATGAGAAGCGGAACCCAAGCATTGAAAGTTGCACCAAAGGCTTGAGCAATCCCAAGAATGAGAGCTCTCTCGTCCGCTAGAGAGCCAAAGGTTTCACCAAGGTAAGACTTTCTATGAGTCAGCATCTGCGCATGAAGAGAAACAAATGAGAATCTGCTTACGATGATCACAGGCCCATAGGCAAGGGTGGCCGGGTTGACGAGGTACCCGAAGAACGCGCCCGCTTTCGAAGGGACAACGGCCAAGACAACACACGTGACAAAGTTCAAGGACGTGATGATTAGCGCGACCCAGAAGCGATTCTCCAGTCTGTCAGACAGCAGGCCAAACAAGATTGTCCCGACGAGACCGATTGCATACGCGGCTGTGGGAATACTGGGAGGTTTTCAGCCAAAGGACGTGCTCGTCAAAAACTCACACGTTGATCTCTTGTACCGTGTACTCGTTGAGAGTCTTTAGGTAGATGGCAAAGAAGTCAAGGCCGTACGTATCGATGCAGAAGAATCTTCGTCGCGTTAGCTAGAAACTTTTACACATATGAGCGACTCACATATAGCTGAGGACAAAGACCCAAACAAAAGGGCGGCTGAAAACGCTCCTGAAAGTCTTAAGCGTCACACCCTCAAATCTTTTGCGCCCGACTTCAACAACTCGCGACTTTGCAAATTCTCGCTCCTCTTCGTTGAGATAGAACACACGCGTGTCATAAGGACTGTCGGGGACGGCAAAGAAGCCCCAAACAGCACCAGGAACATTGATGATTCCGCACATGATGAAGATCTCCAGCCTGGTATTCCGTGGACGCCGTCAAGTCCAGTGTACACCGCTGCTTGAAGGTATCCTGAAAACATTTGGGCTGCGAACGATGCCGAGTAGAAAATGGTACCGCGAGTGGCTAGCTCTGCTCGGTCGTTAGTTGGGGATATCTGGGCTTGCAGCTAGGATGTTTACCCTTGGGAGTGTACCAGCTTCCAAGTAGTGTCATGCCTCCGACATAAAATGGAGACTCGGCGAGTCCGAGCAATAGTCGAAGGACATAGATGTGCTTGTAGTTCTTGACAGCGGCAAAGCAGAAGGTGAGGATAGCCCATGTTGCCTCGATGGATGGGAGCCAAATCGAGGGCCGCACGTGGGTAACGATGATTTGGCTGGGAATCATGCCAATCGTGTAGCCTGTTGTCCACAACGTTTGAAAATAATTGTATTGATCGGCGAAGAGTTCCAAATCCTGTTTCCATTAGCACAAGAAATCGTCACGAGCGGTGATATTGTAAGCATTACCTCTTCCATGCCAGACACGTATGCGTTTCCTGCAATAGCGGTTAGATGTTTTGTGTAAGACGCATACGTTGCAGACAGGCCTGTAAGTACTTACGAAGATTTGAAGCATCCAAAAGTCTGAGGAAGTATCCGAAACATGCTCAGGAGCTTGTATTATTAGTCACTGACGTGAACGAAGTGAAGTTCACTCATAATACTTACAGAATGAAGAAGTCAAGCTTCAGCAAAAGCTTTCGTTCTTCAGACCTACCGCTTCGGTGAAACCAACCACGTTTCCGCTGACCAGCAGCTTCCCCTTCCACATCACCGACAACATTATGAACAATGTCATTTCGCTTGGTGTGCGACGAATCTTGATCCTGAGTCACACTGGACTCGTCAGCCATTTCGAAGATTTGGTCGGAAGGCCTCACAGATGATACAACGGCGTTGAACAAGAAGCAAGCAGATCGTATTACTTATCATAAGCGCGAAGAAGCGATGCGGGGCAATCTAGTTCTGCCCATTCTTGATGCCATGGCACCCAAGGAATGATGCAAGGCCGGCATTGTGGGTCGGTCTTTCACGCCCACGCTCTTCGTCACCTAGGTAGTAGACGCAGAGAGATGTGATGATTGGAGAAGAGGTGGTCGATTAACAGAAACCCGCGCTGAAAGCCAGCTTGCTGCATGTCCGCGCAACACCCGCGTCGTACCGACCGCCTAGGACGATTTACCATCAATCCTGATAATTGCGCCATCGTGCACCCGACAAATTGATGATCAAGTATCGCTCATCGTCCGGAATGTGGGCGGCCTGGATTCAAATGCGCTATAGCATGAGGTCGATGAAGAGAAGAATCCCTTTAATATGACGAGAGTCTGACCGCGGACTATTGGGCAACATTTGGAACTGACAGAGCCTCCAGGTCTTTGGGCAACAAAGACCCTATCAATACAGCCATGACTGCCGACATCATTCCGTATGAGCTCTATTCAGACGCTCCAGGCTTTTTGCTCAATAAGCTTGAATGGGAAAAGGCAAATGCAGCTCACCCCGAAACCTCCAGCTTTGGCTCAGTTCCAAAGGGGTGGCCATCTCAATTTTCTGGGCCTCGGACGTGGACGGGTCAATATTTAGAACAGCATCGTAAGTTACGTACTTGTAAGACCGAGACAAAAGGCAAATGCTGATTCTTTGCAGCCGAAAAGCACATCAAGCACCTCTCCCAAGAGCATATCAATGAGATAGATGCTGCCATCAAGGTGAGAGGATGTTGAGCGCGCCCTTACTTCAATGACCAGACGGCAATCTCATACCTGTTGGCACAGAATTGCAAGAAGCAATCTCTTCTTCTTTCCAGTATTAGTCGATCGAACTTTCAGCTTCTCATCCTCGGGCCAATACTGCGTGGAGTATCCGATGAAATCCACAACGGCATCGGGTTTCAGATTCTCAGAGGCTTCCCGGTCCAGAAGTATGACAAGACGGACCAGATCATTGCTTTGCTCGGAATCAACGCGTGGGTTGGCGATCGACGTCTCAATTAGGGAGCGGACCGGGCCATATGCCATGTCAAGGTGTGCATCAAGTATCTATGCTACCTTCGACGGATGGGTTGCTGACAATCGCCAGAGCATTTCGCATTTGGACCCAGAAAACCGTGGAAAGATCTATGTTTCTGCTCAAGACACCAACGCACAATTCTTTCACAGCGACGCCGGTAGTGATGTAGTTGGACTCATGGCTGTGAGCCTTTCAGGTCACGAAGGTGCATCGACTGTCGTCAGCGCTGGACAAGTGTACAACCAATTTGCCATACATCGACCTGACATTGTCCGGCTTCTGGCCGAATAGAATTTCCGTTGGAGAGCGTACGTCTATCCCCCAACACAAATTAGAAGGTTCTCACGAAATTTAGCAACGGCATACCCGACGATGGGGTGCACTTGATTCATAACAAAGACGGCCGCCTATTTGTCAATTTCTCGACACGGACTTTCATTGGCTACGGAGAGGTTAGTTTTGAATATGATAAGGGCAATAAAGTGACTGACGATTGGTAGATGCCCGATCGAGATGCCGATTATCCACCATTGTCCTTCGAAGAGCGAGAGGCCTTTGCGGGCTGGCAGTGGGTGGCCGACGAGTACAGTCTCAAGACAGACCTTGAAGTAGGTGATATTGAATGGTACGTTGTTTTCAGGTCCTCCCCAAACCCCGTTCCCTCTCTGAATAAGACTTGTTTAGGGTGAACAATCTTCACCTTCAACATGCACGCCGCGGCTTTACCGAGGACATCACGAATCCTAGACATCTCATCCGGATCTGGCTGAACGATAGCGAAAACTCGCCCGAGCTTCCTGAAGACATCAAGCGGAAGTTCGACGCCATGTTTGCCGAGGATCCTAATTTCTTTCCCCTTGATGAGATCGAGGAGGACTTGAGGCGGAGGCAGAGCGGGATCTTCACCGGCTCGTGTAAGCAAGAGACAGCTGACGAGAGGCTGCAAAGCGGGGGCATTGAAGCGTTGAACTCCCGAGTAGTCCGTTAGTTGCACGGCGTGACACGTTGCAGGAATATTGAGCTTTGAACCTATGAATGGTGATTTCTGTTTCTGATTTCCTTGGCTTGGTTGCGTCTAAATGCTGACATCCGGCGTGTAGATCATAATGAGCCTCGACGCGAGCGTTACTGTCTTAGACACGGGCGCGGGCCTACCCGCTTCGGCCGTTGTCAGCATAAGCAACCCGGCACTCGAATGCCGAACGTTCTCTTGCAATGTTTGCGATGATTCAGATAGAAGTTTGAACGTTCTGTACCAATGGAAAAGGGTTTCATCTAAATACTGCTGAGGCCAGCTCGGTTCGCATGGATTTTGCAAGTAATAAGCTGCACTGTGCCACAATACACGGAAAAGACATGGCGGAGACCTGGCAGAGACATGGAAGTGACACAGAAATGCATCCAAGGGCTATTATTGATATTTTGAATTTGCAATTCCCCTTTCCCTGGACAAGACAAGCTGCCAAATAAACCTTTAACTCCGGATCCTAACAGATGGATCCCATGTCGTCCTGAATATGGTCTGTTTCCTGTATCCCATTGCTTTCCAACCGTTCATTAACCCCATTCTTGCTCTAAAAAGCCGTTGGTGTGGCGCAAACCGGCGACGTCACCGTCGTAGGCACTGTGGCCGGGACGTAGATGACCTTCTCATAGGCGGGTCCGTGGCCACCCCAGTTAGGAGCCTGCGCGTCGGCAGTTGTAACGTGAGCACAGCCATGGCAGTCGACGGGGCTTGGTACAGTAACTGTGCTGTTGTACTGTGTGATCGTAGTCGTGGGCTGGAAGTCGCCAGTGAACCCAGGGTCAAAGTGTGTAACAGTAATCGTGCAGTCGCTTACCGCTGGTGGTGCGGTAGGCTCGGGCATTGGGCTAGCAGCTGCAAGGGCTGCGAAGCCTACAATTACTGAAATGATGGAAGTGCGCATTTTTGTGATGGTTTAAACGAATGTAAAGTTCAAGGTTGATTAAATCCCGTAATTGTGTAATTGGAGACGAAGGTGCTGCCAAGATTGATCAAGATTGGGAGCCAAGACAGCAATATTTATATTGCTCTTCACCTTGCAGATCCTCGGATCTGCTGGAATCCTAAAAGATTCTTAATGTTGAGGAACCATGCTGATCGTTGTCTGAGATCGGATGAACGGCAAACTAGCGGGGAGCCAGAGTCCTCTCCGTGTTGATCTTCCACCCGTTGTGTGACGATGAAGGCTATTATTATCATTAAGTTCTACGGCCATCCCGCCGCCACCTCCTGCTATTCACTGGAGAATAATGAGGGATTCGCCGAAAACAATTTGGGCTCGTATTGCAGTTAAAGCGCCCCCTGAGCGCTCAGCCCGAATATGATGGGACGCACTGTTGTAAGCTTTCTGAGATGGGGTAAACAAGCTGTCAACCCTCCAAAGTTGATTGCAAAAACGTGGGTGCCCCCTGCTAAATGGTCCGATGATGTGCCCCCTTTTGAAAGCTTGTTTCTCCGAGCGTGTCGGACGATCATATTGGCATAGCTGTTCAGGAACGAAATATTATTATTGAAAGTTGCTGCTTACCCGAAGAGTCAATAATCGTCGTGAATTCATACTTAGAGCTGCGGATGCAACTACTCGTTGCCGGACTCATCCACCGGGACGGGACCACCCACCGGAGCGGACGCACCCATCAGGCCTAAAACGGTAGGCGTCGCCATTCCTGCCACTCCAATTCCGCCGATTTCATTGCCCGCGCAACAGGAAAACCAGTTCATGCTGCAGATGCTGCAGCGAAGAAATGATATCGCAGCCACAATCTAGCGCATCATTGAAATCGAAGGACAGCTCGAAGGTTGGTTATATTGTCAGACATATCGGACCCCGCAAGCCAAAGCAAATCTGTGGATTTCCCCGCAGGACAGTTTGACGGATAACCACGTGGAAGCAGACCATCTTCCAGCCCTTGAAGCATGGTAACATCTATCCCACACGAACAGTGATACCAAAATAAGCAGATCATAGTACTCACCAGCCCCAGAGGCAGTGCCTGATTCGCATAAGAGATACCACTGCAATCTTCGATGTGGTTGCGGTTGCATTGTGCTATCAAAGTTTGGGCCCAGCCTATGCAGTCAGTATTGTTGTAGTTTATTTCCACGATTTACTTACAATGAAGAAGTAACCACGCAGCAGACTGTTTGTCTTGCAGGTATCGCCACCATTCAGCCAAAAGCATTTGGTCGTAGTGTGATCAGTCTTGTCTTCAGCAACGCACATGATTTAACGGAAGTTGGCGCGGCTGATGAACTGAACGACGCCTTTGCTGGCCGAGCTCGGCTGGCTGTATGTGCATTCCGCCCTGGGGGGTTGGCCCTGAGCGGCGCCGACTTGCAGTGTTCCGTGGTAGACTCCGCTGGGTTGGCGTATCAATGAGGTCCAAGAACTGAAGAGGGGGGTAATTTCAACAGGTGCATCCGCGCAAGTCGCTTCCGCAACGGCAAGTTGCCAGAAGAGCGCCATGAAGAGGACACGAAGTGCGGGAAGGAAAGATTTGTTCATCTTGGGAATAGTTTCTGAGGGAAGATCCGAGACAGATGGTTGTGACTATGGCGTACGAACAACTTTCAACCGACGAAATGGCAGTTTAAGTAGAGAAAAGAAGTTGGACGAAGCTCTGCACAGCCGGTGATTTCTTCGCCTCGGTATCGTAAATGTCGATCTAGTATGGAGTCTTGGATCTGTAAACTTTCATCGGTGATTTGATGTGAGTCGTTTACATCTCGAGAAAAGCTTTGCTGCACGAATGACCGAGCTTAGGGATCAGGCCAAACAACACATTCCACCTTCCCGCAGCCGTTGCAGAATACCTCCAACGAAAAGAAGTGCTCAATTAATTGTGACTTGTACTTCGCTAACCTTCTCTAATGAGGTAAATGGCTCTGGGCCCTTCATTCACGGGGACGAAACTTTGCTGTTCTAAAGGCACTCACACCTAATTTGAGAAGGGCGGGCTGGACTCAAGCAGCAGCTTCTGCTGTCGAAATTGGCCATTCCTACCGCATGGCAAGTTGAAGACTATCGATGTGTAGCAACACTTTTGAGTGGTCAAGAAGATTAGATGGTGTGAATAGATTTCGAAGAGTTGCCTTGCACCTCAACCGTTCTAGATACTCATGAGACATGGGCCGTCAATCGGTGAGCACGAAGTGAGGGTTGCTACGAGTCAGTATCAACAAGCAAGAGTGTGTACCACATAAATTGCTGCTGATAAGCTATACTGACAGCAATTTGTTCAAGAAAGTATATTCTCGGCCATTTCCGCGGTTCCTTGACATAAAATAGCATAAAGAAAGGAGCATTCCGTTACTCTTTGCCAAGCCACTTCCAAGACCAACCCGCTCATCCCCACACTCTTTTTGTCTGATTGAACCATCACTGTTGGACTAATTTCCTCCAAAATGCAACTCAAGTCGGCTTTCCTTCTTCTCGTCGCTGCGATATCAGCATGCGCCAACCCCGTTGACCTCTGCAAAAAGGCCGCGGACGGCACAGTCGATAAGCGTTGCGGTGGTCCCATCCTTGATCATTGCAATTGCAAGATGTACGTTCCCTTCATCAACGACGTCAGCAGCTTTTCAGTAAAACATTTTATACTGACCAAATCTCTTTACAGGTGGGTCCCTGGAAAGACCGCGGCTGATCCTCGTCAATACCTGTCTGGAGACTTCCCATACGGTACTGGAGTAACCCAAGGCACCATGAAAGCAACAGGAGGCGCGGGTCAAGGCAGCGTCTGCGCGGTCACCTGGGACAGAGGAGACAATGGACGTTGTGGATACTGGAAGCAGATCAGCGGCCCGACTGGGTCGGGATGCCAGCAATACCAGAATGTTTGGTTCAGCTGCGACGAGGTTTACGCATAGATAGCGTCTAGATTTACGTATAGATAGCGTCTAGATTGAGTGACCCTGCCTTCAATCGGTTTATAGAAAAAGAATCCTCATAGAGGGCGTTCCCAAGGTGCGCTCTCCTCAGGAGAGAAGCATTTAGCGTACAGAGCAAGAGCAATGACAATCAGGAATTTTCTTGAGCACAACGTTTATTAACCATCCCGAACCGTCACGCGCGACCAGAAGGTGGGCCAAGGACGTGACAATTGCGAACGATAAGTGGTTCATCACCGAGGCAGGTCCACTCTTTTCCGCAGCACCACGTGTGTGGATGGTGGTGCCATGTTACCCTCTCCGCCAGGCTGGCTTAGAGGTCATGCCCAAACGGCCGTGGAGACTTAATGAATGCAGCCTGCCCTTGGCTCAGCTTTGGAACGTATTTAAGCAAATGGAGCCCCCTGCTTGCCGTTGTGTGACCCGCTGTCTTGCTTGCATGGACAACTAGCTTACGAGGCAATCAGTAAGCAAGGCTCTCTTGCAGTCAGATTATTAAGTAGTTGACAGCCCAACATCGCACAGAATGTAATACCCTGCTCATCCGCCACAAGTTCTTAACCCCAGCGTTCGACTCTTTCAAGAACATCTCATATAATGACCTCCTGAGAGTAGCCGCCAAGCTTATTGTACTCGAGGTCACGTTGTCCCTCCTCTTTCGGTCCAAGTCAACGCGCCAAATATGATCCGTTGGTGATTGAATCCACAAAAAGCCATGTCAACCAAAGTTTCGGATCGAAATGCCTACACAATTGGCTGGATATGCGCCCTACCAACGGAATCGGCTGCAGCGCAGGTTTTCCTTGACGAGCGACATGAAGTACCGAGACAACAACAGCTATGTTGCAGGCAAAATTGGAAAGCACAATGTGGGTATTGCTGTCATGCCTCAAGACGAGTACGGAACCATCACTGCTGCAACAACAGCCAAGGATATGGTACGCAGCTTCCCACAAATACGACTGGGTTTGATGGTTGGCATTGGGGGAGGGGCCCCAAGCCGAGAGCATGACATTCGACTTGGCGATGTTGTCGTCAGCAGTCGCGGTAGAGGCACCGGTGGTGTCATTCAGTTCGACTACGGAAAGACAATACAGGGTCAAGCTTTCAAGGAAACCGGCCATCTCAATTAACCGCCTACTTCCTTATTGACGGCAGCGGCTGCACTTGACGCACAGCACGACCTCGAAGGTCCCCAGCTAAACGATAAGGTGGAAAGGGCGCTGGAGACGCAACGTAAAGCGTTTAAGAAAAAGTATGCGCGCCCAAGCGAGGATACTGACAGACTGTATAGGCCCGAAGTTGTTCATCCTGACGGTCTATTCGGGGATTGCACGATCACTTGCGGTGCTCATCCAGAGCACTTGGTACACCGAGCTCCACGGGGTGATGACGATGACAATCCTAGCGTCCATTATGGTATCATTGCATCATCCAATCAAATCATGAAGGATGCTATGGTTCGCGACAAGCTGGTTCAAAGAGGGGTTCTTTGTTTCGAGATGGAAGCGGCGGGCCTGATGAATCATTTCCCATGTTTGGTTGTACGCGGCATATGTGACTATTCCGACAGCCACAAGAACTCCCATTGGCAGCCATATGCCGCTATGGTAGCGGTAGCATATGCCAAGGACCTCTTGGGGTTGGTCAACCCTACAGTGGTAAATGGGGAAAGGAAGATATTAGATCTTGTCAACTCTGGTTAGTCAAGTTTCCAAAAGTGGGATGAACTTAAGCCTAACAAATAGACAGTCGCATCAACCCAGAAGGAGCAGAACAGAATCTTGAGTGAGACAAAAACTGCAATCGAAAGCATTGATTCACAGCAGCGTGCCAAAAGTTTGAAAGAGTGGCTGCGTCCGGCTGAATCGTCCGGCAACGCACAGCGAGCTAGAGACAAGCGACATCACGGTACCGGCACGTGGCTTTTAGAATCTGATGAATTTCAGAAGTGGTTGACCGGCGGCAGACAACATCTCTGTCTCCATGGGCTCGGAGGTTGCGGTAAAACAGTCCTTAGTTCTACTATTCTTGATTATCTCAAGAAAACTCAAGAAACGCCCATATTGTACTTCTTTTTCGATTTTAACGATTCTCAGAAAGGCACCGTCAGTGCCTTGGTTCGCTCGTTGATCTTTCAACTGTATTTGCTGGGAGAGTCCTGGGCTTCGGAAATCGAAGCACTGCAAAAGGCTCATGACAACGGGAAAGATTCACCAAGTACTCAGGATCTGTTGGACTTCTTCCAGTCAACTCTGGAAAGGGTCCCGGCTATCGTGATCTTGGTGGATGCCCTGGACGAATGCAAACAAGAAGACCAGGAGCAGGAAAAGCTGATCAGGTGGATGATTGAGCTCGTTTCAGCGCCTACCCTCAGACACGTCAAGATCGTCGCCACTACACGGCCAGAGGCCGCCTTTGTGGATCGGGAAGGTTACGATCTGACAGAAAACACAGAGTTCGTGCATCTCAGTAGGGCCAACATCAAGAGTGACATCAAGTCGTACATCGAGGGGTGCCTGCGCGACACATCATGGTTTCACACGCATGCACCAGACCATCCGATCATCAAGCTCATTCCAAAGAAACTAATTGAGAAAGCCGACGGCATGTAAGCATCATCAAATCGAGCCTCTAGGTCAATCTTGTATTGAATCTCACTCACCAGCCATTAGGTTTAGATACGCTGCCTGCCATATTGAAGACATTGTCAACTGTCTTGGCCCTGAGGAAATCGAAAAAGTCTTGGACTCTTTGCCAGAGACAATTCAGGAATCATATATGCGAAGTCTCCAAAAGATACCCAAAGGATACTATGACAAAGCAATGCGTCTTTTACAATTTCTTGTTCACTCGGACCAGCCACTCGAACTAGCGGCAGCCGTCGATATTGTAGCTGTGCGCTCCGATTTCCGAAAGTTTACCACCGCTGACCGAATACGTCCCGGACAAATTGTTCGATTATGCCCAAATCTATTGACAATCGTGGAAGTCTATGAATACAATGGGCCCGATCCAGAGGACTGTTATCAAGTTCAACTTCATCTGGCCCATTTGTCGGTAAAAGAATATCTCATTCAGTACAGTTGCCCCGAATTCCCCCTTATTGGCATAGATGCCAGTATAAGCATCGTCCGCACCTGTCTTTCGTATCTCACTGGCGTTTTCCCATATGATTCGGCGTCGAACCTCAAAGCAGAATTTCCCTTTGTCACTGTCGCGGTTTTTGCGTGTATGAGACACATCAACGCTGTTGAAGAATCACCAGAAACTGTCTTTGCAATGGCCGACTACTTGGGGACGGACTATCCTTCGCGGCTTTTTGGGATACCATTTCCCTGCAGTCCCCCGATGCTCCATTCTGAGGATATACAGACAATCTCCTTGCATTTGGCCTGTTACTTGGGCCTCAGAGCAACAACAAAGGCTTTGATATTGCGCGGTGCGGATGTCGACTGTCGGAATAGCGAATGGTATGGCATGAGCCCCCTCGAAATTGCGTCATATCTGGATCAAGTAGAGTCTGTCCAACTGCTGCTAGATGCTGGGGCGAGTCCCGATACCACTGGCAGTGAAGTCCACGGAAGCGCCTTCCGGATTTCTTGTCAGCAGGGTAATCGAATGATTGCCAAGCTGCTTGCGGAGAAGGGGACAGACATTAACAGGCTGGAGGGAAAAGATGACATGAGGAAAAGTCCCCTTCAGATCGCCATTGCGAACAGGGATGCGGAGCTCACACAGCTGCTACTTGACATGGGTGTTGATGTCAATGCAGATTGTGGTTATTATGGTACCGCGCTACAAACCGCAGCTCGCTCAGGGTTTGCTGAATATGTTGCAATACTTTTGCAGCATGGAGCCGATGTGAACGCCAAAGTCGGAGCTTGCGGGGACGCCCTCCAAGCTGCTGCCGAGGCAGGCCACAAAGATACAGTCCAGCTATTGCTGGATAAGGGCGCAGATGCAAATGCCCCGAACGAGACCAGTTACGGGTGCGCTCTTCAAGCAGCCATTCAGTTGAACCATTTGGATGTCGTCAACATCCTTCTGGAAAGGGGAGCAGATGTCAGTGCTAAAGGCGGAGTGTATGAGCACGCCCTCCAAGCCGCTGTTGCAGAAGGGCACGAAGATATCGTCAAGCTTTTGCTCAGAAGAGGAGCGGATGTTGGATGTCGTCAACATCCTTCTGGAAAGGGGAGCGGATGTCAATGCTCAAGGTGGCAAATTTGGTAACGCCCTCTATGCAGCCGTTTCAGAAGGTGGCCAAGATATTATTGAGCTTCTGATGGATGCAGGGGCGAATGTGAATGCGCAGGGTGGTCTCTACAGAAGCGCCCTGACTGTTGCGTGTATCCGCGAGCTTCCCAAAACGACGGACTACCTCTTAGACAAGGGTGCAAACGAGAATGCAAGTTTTCCAGGACTAGGGAATGCCCTTCAAGTGTTCATGACGAGACGAGTTTCACATTGGAATCTCAAAAGCACGAGTATACTCAAGAGCCTTCTTGAAGCTGGCGCAGAAGTCCAATCTCAGACAGCTCTCAACCGGAACGCACTGCAGCTTGCTGTTCAACGCGCGCATCTCGAGCCTATTAAGCCTTTGTTGAGTCACGGAGCGGACGCAAATATTCTGTATGATGCCTCCCGCGCTCATTTCAAGCACAGTCTCCTGATCGAGTCTCTGTTCAAATCTCAGCTAGACATTGCGCAGGAACTCCTCCAATTTGGCGCGGACCCGAACGCAAAGACTTCTCGCTATCTTCCCGGACAAACAGCTCTTCACCTTGCTATGGACAAGGACTTTCAGGACGTCGTGCGGCTACTTTTGCAGAAAGGAGCAGACGCCAATCAATTGAGTGGCTTTCCTCCTTTCACCCCATTGCAACTGTCTGTCAAGATGGGGTCTGTGAAATATGTACGCATACTCTTAGAGCATGGTGCAGATGTCGAAGCGCTTGGAGGATACAATCATAGTCTTACTGCCATCAGAATGGCACAGCGAGCTGGGGATGAGTCGATCGTTCAGTTGTTGGAAAATTCAAGGGCCGAGAAAAAGATTGGCAAACGGAGGCGAGGAGAATCATGGGACACCTTGGCTAAGAATATTCCAAAGCGTCGCAGGTAACGGCAGTGCAAAGAGAGGTTGGAGAGCGCTTGGCGGCTTGGATGTGTTGGCTTTGTTGCAGATTGTTCATGATCCTGACCCAGTGAACTGGTCTATTATCGCAGGCGGCTGGCCGACCTCTGAAATGCAAATTGCACAGCGCTATATGCCAATCTTTCTTCAATAGCTGCATTCACTTGGTATTTGGATTCAGAGGTCCCGAGAGTCTAATGTCAACGATTTCATCTATAATCTCATTCCTTTATTTCTTATATGTATATTGACTTAGGTATGTGTTGTGAGTAACGCGGGCAGAAAGGCATAGTGAACGTAGTAAAAAACGTATAGATATCTATAGAAAAAGGAGGGCACCGGGGAAGATGGGAGATGGTTCACTTGAAGACTGGCCAGAGGGCTGCTTAAGCGCCGGGGACGAGAGAATTGGTTTGGCTTTGGCGTCGTAGGACGAAATACCCAGCTCTCCGAGGTCATGCAACCATGTTCGACACGGTCCGGGTCTCTTGCCGCAGAAGAGGCGATAGCCAGCTGATACTACTCTACACTGCGACTATCTTCATCTCCCAGCAAATACGTCTCGGCCGATATGTCAATCTTTGGACACAAGACCCAGTGCCACGGACCGGGAAACGTTTGAAGAGCAAAACGAAGGATGCCTGCACACTAAAAGGTCCCCATGTGTTTGATCTGGGGGACACTCAACGGAAGGTCGATTAGACAGATGTAACCTTTGATGTTCGCTGCGGTTGGACATTAAGTGTGGGGTAAGGCATGTTACCGTTGAGATACGCGGGGGTTTGAAAGGTGCAACATTGGTATCAAGATGTTGCTGTCAATCGGTAGGGCGAGACGGAAGGAATGCGCTTCTGTAATGTGACGGCTTCATGGGTTGGAAGGGCCGATAATGAGATGCGCATGACCGGAGGGAAAAACAGCCAGACGGCGCCCGAGCATGGCGGATCTGGACGCCGGGCCGCAAACGGCCGTCACGGTTGGATGCTGACGTCTACAGACGGCCCGGAGCCGTGGACCTTGACCCGGTGCGACCTGCCAGAAGCTGTCAAGCAGTGAAGAAGACAGGGACGCACTGCAGCATGGCCTTATCAGTGTAACGAGCCCACGACGTCGGAGGTGAACAATGCAACTGGCCTCCCGCTGCAGAAAAGCTTCGAGTCCCCGTCGCACCTGGATTCCTTTACTTGTGATAACCAAAGTCAACCTTGATAAAGGGTCTCGTGCTGCAGGTTGGAGAGATAGTAGGCCAGGTAAAGAGTAGTTGCGACGCTCCTTCCTGGTCGTCTGAAATCGAGAGAAACGTTACATGCCAGCACGGGCCACGCCATCAGCTAGCGCCCATTGGCTGAACGCTTGTCTCTATCTTGGCTTTTTGGGGTGTGCCACTTTTATTTCTCAGCACGGGGAGGAGCGGAGCACGCGCTGGACTGATGGCAGGCATGCAGCCACTCTCGCACTTGCCTGTTGTCAAATCAGACGGATAATGACAGGAGGAGCGAAGGATGCAAGAGAAGGGAAGGCACGACACGGCATTTCGATTGGTATGTCTGAAGCATCGAAAACCCCAGCTGAATCAGGCGTCTAACACCGCACTGGAATCCGGCTGTCCATCAGCAGGGCGCTTCGTATTTTCCCAACAGTTGGTTGCGCCACTGTCGCAGACAGAATAAGAGTCAGCCGCACGTTGTGCTGTGTCTCGCCCGTCGTCTGCGCCGCATAGTCAGTCCACGGCGAATGGCCAATGGAGTAGTGTCCTTCTATCCCAGATCTCGTGTCAGCATTTAACGGGATGCAGGTGATGGCGGTGGCATCTGCAGTGCGGTAGTAGGTAGATGTATCGTTCGATATTGCGATGGCACAGTGCCCAGCTTTGCCCAGTCCAAAGTCCACAAAGTTGAAGCCACCACCAAGCTTGACTTCGTCTCCCGCGGTGGTGCAGTTCGTGCTCCTTCCCCAATCGGCCGAGGCACGAGTCGCAGGGGCCAATCGCCAGCCGAAGCCTGAGGAAAGAAGGAGGTCGCGCCGCCACCTCGTGATCTCGGCCCTTTGTTCTGGTCGTGGTGTTATCGATTGGGGTAAAGTGGGGCTTACGGAGGCCCTGGGTTTTCACTGTTTTCGAAGTCCCAATCTCGCCTCGCCGACTCCCGAGCCACAGCACACGACCACAAACCAACAGCCAGCCCAGTGATCGCCAGCAATCCTCACGTTTCACGCAAAGGCGACAAACAAACGCACTCGAATTAAGATTAAAACTTTGTACGCGATACCTGGCAGCTCTCAAGTTGATCAAGGCCGGCTGCATCTGCAAATGTGGTGCGATGACTTCCCGGGCGAGTCACTCACGCAGGCTGCCGGGCGCCGCAAACAGAAGCCGCCCCCCCATCCGTCGCCATGGCTTGGGATCGCCGCGGCGTGCCGTCCGGGACCGTTGAAGTTTGTGTCTAAAATTGGCTGACGGGCTGCGGCAACCGGATCTTT